TAGAATTTATTTATTTATTTATATATATTTATTTATTTATTTACTTATACTGTAATGTGTGTCAGCATTTTCTAAAACTGATTTCCAAAATATTAATTTAAGCACATTTGTAAAAGCTTCCCAAATATTTCAGAAAAATTGCCAATATCTAATTGTTGCATGATTTGAAGAGATAATACACCATGTTTACATGTATATTTCCTAAAAATAAACCGTTGTTCTGCCATGCTTTGGTGTGTTACTGACTGTGTGATTGTGTTCAGGGTGTTTCTGCTGCTGTTGTCGTCTGGATACATCGGTCTGCGTATCGTGGCTTTAGAGGAGCAGCTGTCGTCTCTCGGAGCTTTACCTGACCTCACTTTACATAGCAGCAGGTACAGCACACACTTCTATACACACTTTAGTAATATCTGCTCCACACACACAGTTTGTTCAAAAAGAGCAGTTTATTAGAGTTATACAAACATTTCTTCAAGCTCTTTTATGCAAGTAATTTTGAGAAAAAAAACATCTACATATTGCATACATGATTACATTACATTCATGTTGAAGAGTGTGCGTGTACAACTAAAAACAATTGTCAATATTTTTCCTTAACTAATTTCAGTTTTACAAACATGCACTAAATGTAGAACGTGGGCATTTAGTTTGTAGTATATATGTACAGGGCTTTACATTAACTTTCAATCGCCAGCCACTATGGCTAGTAGTTTTCCAATGCTACTAGCCACTCACCATTTTCACTAGCCACAATTTTGTTGTTGGGAAAATATTTTTATATGCATAAATATGACTTTGACATGCTAAAATTACTTGATTTAGATGTCTCTGACCACAACAAACAATTATTTCTTAGCCACAAATTTTAAATGTGTCAAAGCAAGCTAAATATAGCTGTATGCTATACTTTTTTATTTAACAAAACATTTCTTTTAAAAAACTAAAGAAAAACAATTGACTTTTTGAAATAATTATTGTCATCTATCAAACATATGCACAGTAATCTGTCTCTCAGATCACCAGTTAACACATTAATGGAGAGTTAATCTCATATTAAAGCAATTTTGTTTAAAAAAAAAAAAATAATTAAACCATATAAACAAAAATAACCGTAAGCAAAAGAAAGCAGGTGAAAAACATTATTCTCTCATTGGGTATTCATCTGCTTTCTTCTGCTCGCGCG